AAAAAGAAAAAGAAAAAAGTCAAAGCATAGAGAAAGTTATACTGTGCTAGCAACTAACACTAATAAAAAGAAAGCTGGAGGAACAATAGCAATTTCAGACAAAGCAGACTTCAGAACAAGGAAAATAAACTTATAATAAGAAAGGGACGGCTGGGCATGGTGGCTCATGCTTGTAATCCCAGCACTTTGGGAAGTGGAGGCAGGAGGGTTGCTTGAGACTAGAAGTTCAAGACCAGCCTGGGCAACATAGTGAAATCCTGTTAAATAAATAAATAAATAGCAAGGGGTCAATTCTCCAAAAAGATGTAACGAGGCAAAAACTGATAGAACTGCAAGGAGAAAAACAGAGAAATCAACAGTTATAATTGGCTTTTTGGTTCAGCTTGTTGAGATAACAATAAATCTTTGTCATCAATATCTTATCCCTTCCTCCCAGCTTTTTGTCTACAAGCTTGATAAACCTACCTTCTCTTTGTTCAAAGAGGTGAAAACATTCAATGGGCCAGAGGCAGGTTCAGAGCCCTGGGGAAGACAACTTCCCATAAGTGAATATTGATTAGTTAATAATGACAATAATATTAATAATATTTATTATATCATTACTACACACTGAACATTATTACGTGCCAGGCATCGTTCTAAGCACTTTATAAGCAATATCCCTTTGATCCTTCATAATAACTCTGTCAGGCAGGTACTACTATTATGTATATTTTCCAAATGAAGAAAATGAGGCATTAAAAAGTTAATTGGCCAAGGTCAAAAAAGCTAAGTGGGGCACTGGATTTGACTTCAAGTGGTGGCCCTTCCTGTTAATTACATATTAAGATATACTGCCTCTCAATTTGGAAGCAAGTAAGTAATAAAATGGTACTTCATCCCAATAGTCTGAAACAACAGTTCAGGCTTTTGCTTTAAATGTAAGTTAAATAAACGTAAGCGTTTCTTTAATTTTTTTAAAGAATCAATGAGGTTGTACTATATTTGATGTTGAAGAGGCACAACTCCTTAGTGAAACCCTGAGGCAGGTTTGTTTATGGAAAGGGTTCAGGAAAGGCAGGTAGCTGGAACCAAGTAGGACTGGTGCAGGTACCTGAATGCGCTGAGGTGAGGCTACAGCAGAGTCGGTGGAGATTATCTGGATGCGTGGGGAGGGGCTGGTCATCCCTGGAGATTCTGGCCGAGAGGTCTGTGTACGTGTTACCTGTGGGCGAGAAGTGGGCTGGATCACAAGGGGGTTCAGAATAATGCCCAGTGGTGGCCTGTAGACCATACCTCTTGCTTTCACTGTGGCCTGGGATGATAAACTTGTGTGGTTCTGAGGTATGGACCCAGAAGGATGACAAAGGAATCAATGAGATGTTGCTACAGGATGCCCCCGGGAAAATACAACCTTAAAACAGCTGTTTCTAATGTTGGAAATGCAAGAAGAAACCAAAGGAATTTGCAGTTCTGCTCTGCACACTTTAATAAAGTAAAAACCTACCAAAGTAACATTTTATAGACATTTTATAGATCTTTGAATGTTATCCCTGTCTCTAAAGTCACCCGTAAAACACTCCTTTAAGATGATGATTTCCCGAGAAAGGCTCTCACAACACAGCAGGGGATGACAAACAAAACCAACATTACACTGAAAACTACTGGAATTAGTACTTACGAAGGGGTTCTGATAATTTCTCAGCCCCAGTGGGATGGAGCTGGGAAAAGCCTGTCTGGACCATAGGGTCTGAAATTTAGTCAATACCTATACCAAAGGCAAGGTTCAAGGTGCTGAGTGACCATCTGGGTATTTGAAGCAGGCAGATATATTTTTTTCTTGATAGAAAGCATATTGTGGCTGGTTGTGGTGGCTCATACCTGTAATCCCAGCACTTTGGGAGGCCAAGGTGGGCGGATCACTTGAGGTCAGGAGTTTGAGACCAGCCGGCCAAAATGGTAAAACCCCATTTCCGCATACCAAAAAAAAAAAAAAAAAAAAAAAAGCCGGGCACAGTGGTGTACCTGTAATCCCAGCTACTCATGTAGCTGATGCAGGAAGATCACTTGAACTAGGGAGCCAGAGGTTGCAGTGAGCAGAGATCGTGCCACTGCACTCCAGCCTGGGCAACAGAAAAAAAAAAGTGTATTGTGGGCTGGCTACAGTGGCTCACGCCTGTAATCTCAATACTTTGGGAGGCTGAGGCAGGTGGATCACTGGAGGTCAGGAGTTAGAGACCAGCCTAACATGGTAAAACCCTGTCTCTACTGAAAATATAAAATTAGTCAGGTGTGGTGGTGTGTGCCTGTAATCCCAGCTACTTGGGAGAGAGAGTTGCTCAAACCCAGGAGGCAGAGGTTGCAGTGAACTGAGATTGTGCCATTGCACTACAGCCTGGGCAACAAGAGCGAAATTCCGACTAAAAAAAAAGTGTATTGCGAACTGATACTTTATAAACTCTTCCTAAAATTAGAAGAAAACACTACCTAATTCTGTGAAGCCAATATTACCTAATACTGAAACCAAAGACATCACAGGAAAAGAAAACTACAGACCCATCCCTCTTACGAAAAAGAGTTGCAAACAATCGTCTACAGAACACTAGCAAACTGAATCCAGTGGCATATAAAGGATTACATACCACGAATAAGTGGGGTTTACTTTAATCTCAGGGATGCAGGCTTGTTCAAATATGAAAATCAAACAGTTCTATACATCGCATTAAAGGAATAAAGGACAGAAGCCACACAATTATTTCAACTGATGGAGAAAAAGCATTAAACAAAATCCAACTCATGATAAAATTCATGATAAAAACACTCAACAAACAAGATACAAAAGGAAAGTTCTCAATCTGATAAAGGGTCTCTATAAAATACCTGCAGCTAACAGTATACTTAGTGGTAAAAGACTAAAAGCTTTCCTTCTAAGGTTAGGAACAAGATGAGGACCTCTGCTCTCTCTACTTCTACTCAACATTTCACTAGAGGTTCTAGCCAGGGCAATTAGCAAAGAAAAAGAATAAAAACATTCCGAATACAAAAGAAGAAAACTATCTCTGTTTCCAAATAACATTATCTCATATACAAAAAATCCCACAGAATACACACACACACACACACACACACACACACCCCAAAACCATCAGATCTAGTAGAGGGGTTTCAAGACATAAGATCAAAATAAAAAATCAGCCAGGTACAGTGGCTCAAGCCTGTAACCTCGGCACTTTGGGAGACCGAAGAGGAAGAATCACTTGAGGTCAGGAGTTTGAGACCAGTCCAGATAAAAAAGCAAGACCCCTGTCTCTACAAAAAAATTAAAAAATTAGCTGTGTGTGATGGTGCAAGCCTGTAAGTCTCTGGTACTCGGGAGGCTAAGTCCCAGGTACTCAGAGGATTGCTTGAGCCCAGAAGTTCTAGGCTGCAGTGAGCTATGATCGTGTTACTACATAGCCTGGGCAAGAGTCTGCCTCAAAAACAAAAAACAAGGCCGGACACACTGGCTCACGCCTATAATCCTGGCACTTTGGGAGGCTGAGGCAGGTGAATTACTTGAGGTCAGGAGTTCAGGACCAGCCTGGCCAACACGATAAAATCCCATTTCTACTAAAAAATACAAAAATCAGCTGAGCGTGGTGGCGGGTACCTGTAATCCCAGGTACTCAGGAGGCTGAGACAGGAGAATTGCTTGAACCCAGGTGGCGGAGGTTGCAGTAAGCCAAGACTGCGCCATTGTACTCTAGCCTGGGTGACAAGAGCAAAACTCTGTCTCAAAAAAAAAAAAAAAAAAAAAAAATAAAAAAAAACAAAAAAAAAAAAAAAAAAAATTAAAAAAAAAAA